GTGAAGAAATGGACTTAGTAGTCTTTTACAGAGTGTTCCACCCAGCAATGTCAGAATACACTTTTTTCTCAGTTGCACACGGGATGTTCTCCAAAATGGATCATGTGCTAGCACAAAGAACATGCTTAAGTAAATGTAAAGGCATTGAAATTATCCCATGCATATTATCTGACCATAGCACATTAAACTAGAAATTATTATTATTTTTTAAAATTTTATTTATGTGTGTTTGTGTATGTGTGTGTGTGTGTGTGTGGCCAGCTCAGCCCACCAGGGGGCAGGGCTGGCTGGCATGTGGTGCTAGGGGATTGAATTGTGGTCCCTATGCTTTGCTAAGCTTGTTCTAAGTAGGTGCTTTAGACCACTGAGCCGTCTCACCAGCCCCTAAACTAGAAATTATTGATAAACAGCAAAAACTCTATAAACACATGGAAACTAAATAATACCCTCCTGAAAAATCAATGGGTCATGGATGAAATTAAAGAAGAAATTATACAATATACACAATCTAACAGTTAAAGTTGAGCAATATATACAATCTAATGAAAATGTGGATACAACTTACCAGAACCTGTGGGATGCAATGAAAGTTGTCTTAAGAGGGGAATTTATAGCAATAAATTCTCATATCAGGAAAACAGAATGAGCCCAAATAAACAATCTTATATTGTACCTCAAACTCCTAGGAAAAAAAGAGCAAGTGAAGTCCTAAGCCCAAACAAGGCAGGATTACAGAGATCTGAGCAGAAATAAATGCAACGGAGACTAATGAAACAATACAAAGAATTAATGAGTCAAAGAGTTGGTTCTTTGAAAGAATAAACTAGATAAACCCCTAGCCAACCTCTTTAAACAAAAGGAGAAAATATTCAAATTCATGCAATAAGGAACAAAAAGGGTGACACCACTATAGACCCTATAGAAATTCAGAAGATTATCAATATCTATTTCCAAAATCTTTACTCTTACAGAATGGAAAATATAGAAGAAATGGAGAGACTGCTAGATACATATGAACTTCCAAAGCTAAATCAAGAAGACATAAAAATTCTGAATAACCCAGTATCAGTTAAGGAAACTGAAACTGTAATCAAAACCTACCAACAAAGAAAAGCCCATCCCTGGTTC